AGCAGTTGGTTCGGTTTCTGTAAAGAGCTGCTCTGAGGGGGTAGAGACCTGGTATCGCCTCATGTTCGTCTCGCTTCTGCTAGCACCCCGTCAATCATGTCTCGTGCCACTCGGAATGGTTGGCCGAACACCTCCTTCATTATATTTCGAGCTCTCGGGTAGACCACTTCCGGGTCCAGTATTGCACACCCTCGTATGGCCTCCTTGGCCCTCCCCCGACAGTAATGTAGCAAAAACAGAAACCTTTGCCCTGCATTGTTGGTTTTGCATTTAACGAAATTTTCGTATTGGCGAATGAATTGGAAATATTCTTCGGGATTTCCGTGGAAAGGTGTCAGTTCGACTCTTGGCAAATCGATGTTTACATGGGCATACATTCTTTGCTTCGGGACGGGTCGTTTATTTGGAGAGAAGCAACTGTGTGCAGTCTCAGCTCGAGGTGATGTTGTGCCTTTGAAATCGTTTTTTTTTCGTTTGGCCTGTTCAATCCTCTGCCTAGCTAACCTCAACCCATGCTCTAATTCGGAAACCCACAATCTAAATATATAAATACTCTTAATATCTGAATCTGCACATGAAACAGAACTGACAGGACTAACAGACCTAACATTTTCCAAAAAATAAAAATAACCCACAGACCCCCCCCGTGTCTTGCCGGGTTACTTTCTGTTGAGTTCCATTTTCCTTGGTTCCCCGTCTGGGCATCTTTGAAGTATTTTTCTCGTTTGATTCCAATTTCAGTACTGTACGTCAATTATTTTGCACTTCAGTGATGCGTAGCCGAACCGATACGAATCCCGAATTAAAAACACAATTGATCCGCAATGTTCTACGGTACTGAATAAGCAAAATCAATACAAAATGTAGAATAAAGCAAACCTGAAATATGCGGCCAAAAGCACTCAAGCAAGCGAGCCAAACATGATGTCCAGATAGAGCCAAACAGTCGCTCCGTTCTTAAACCACGCCAAATTCAAATGTCCCGGGCATGGAATTAACAGATAAAGAATGATGTATGGTGTTTGTGATCGAGAAGTGTCAATAGAGAAGCAACACACAGATAGAGTTATTTCACCATAACTCATCGTGGTTTTGGAGGGATTTTCAAAAATTCAACATGAAACACATTTTGTGACTAGTCCAGAGGTCCACCTAACATTACTTTGAGGGTACTCTAGGTTGCTGTCTACTGCCGAGGTGAGGTCCACGGCGAATTTATCCAGTCCCTGCTTGAAACATGCTGTCGTAGGAGCAGAGACCACTCCTTCGGGTAATGAGTTCCAAGCGGATGTGGCCCGGATGGAGAAATGTAAACATCTGCTATTAGTACTACTCTACTGCTGCAAGATGGTCCTGGTATGTTCTCGCACTTGACGGTGCGGCGATAGTGCTATTCGTTTGCTGTTCGGGTGACTCTGTGTTGATACTATTTTGTGTGTCGTTATTAAGTCCCCTGTCAGACTCCTTTAGGAAAGAGTGAAGAGGTTGAGTAGCATGAGTGCCTGTGGCTTAAGTGCGCACATCCTACAAGTCTGCTCATCGATAATTTGCTCGTTCCACAGACGTTATCGATTGGTATCTACTCAGATCAATCAATTTCATGCACTTGCCTATGCCGATAGTGCCGGCCAACATGGGCCTAATCCTGATTGGCTGTTAGTTTTTTGCTGTCTTGTTGAGCATACGCTTGATTGTAAATAATCACAATGAATCCATCCTTCCTTGCGTACTGTTGTTCTACTGTGCTAGTGAGCTGCGGGTCCGAGACTACACTGTGTAAAATCCAAACGTAACACTAGATGGTCACGGCATCTGTCCCTCCCCACATAGTAAACACTGTCTGTCGCCGATTTACATTTTACAAGTATCTCCCCTCTTTAGTTATGTATTATGAGCTTTTCGAATCCTCTGACGAGGACACTTTACCCATGCGGGAAACCCCCATGCCACAAGAAGTGTTTGAAACCAGCGACTGGGCCAGCACTCAAATAGCGCTAGAAGCGGCTCTAGTTGTCTTTGACCTACAAGGTGCGATAATACACGAACTGCGAGGGAAAATTGCAGCACTAGATATTGACATAAGTCAACTGACAGCCGCGGCCGCAAGTCATGCAATCACCTCATCGAAACAACAGATATTTGACACTGCAGTCAAACTGGAATCAGCGACCATTAGTGCCAAACAGATATTAATTTAGGGCAGTTTCCTCAAGTTTAATTCTTTGGCTCGGGCAACAGAAACCCTTCTGAAAAACCTTACAGCTCCATTCCTAGCCAGATCAAACGGAGCATCGTCGCTATGTCCAAATCTAAGAAGACGAATATGGGCATCCTTCAACTTCGGAGTCAGAGGTAGCAGATGCTCTCGCCCAAACCGAATCTCTGAAAAGAGTGCAATCTTGTCCGCGGAGTTACCTGAGACAAGTCACCGTATATCCGAACTCAGCGGAAGGAAATCCTCAAAAGTAACAAAGGTGTCAGCGACCCCAAGCTCCACTGTCTGTCAGTAATCCCCCTCTCGCGAGTAGATCGCCAATCGACAACAACTTCTTCACCTCCCAAGACACGACAATCTTCCAGGGCCCCAATCAAAACTCCTGCAGTGCGACCCAAGCACCCCCAACAGCTTCGACACCGGGGCACTACACCCTCGCTACGATAAAGGCCAACCACAAGAATCCTCCTAATCCAAAGCCGAGAAGGAACGGTTTACTCGCCCCTCCCATCCGTATCACTCTTATCAACCGGGTCATTAGAACCACAATCTCCTCTTCTCAGTGACGCGGATCCCTTTGGGCAACAAGTATACTTCGCACACTCCCGTAGGGGACGGCAAACTGTCCCTTTTCTCCCCACATCCCATCCTACTTGCCTTCCACACCTCTCCAACAGGTCGAGGCAAACATGCCGCAGAATGGTTCACAATCCGGACCCCTTCCATAGCCCACTTATTACAAACCCGTTGCCCAAATTAGAGCCCCTTCCGAATATCCCCCCTCTAACCCTGCTATTACTAAAATCTCTTGTGAGTGGGCTCTGAAGTGCATTCCCATTAACGGTCTCAGCATCTGGAACAAGATGCTGGAAGTGAAACAGTTAGTGGCTGACAATAAGCCCTCACAGAAACCTGGTTGACTCCGGAAGACAGCGAGGTCGATATATCCATTGCAGGTTACTCGAGGATCCGAGGAGACTCACTGAGGAGTCGAACAGGTGGTGTGATCCTCTACACGAGTGACCACCTCCCACAAGTGATCCATCTATCACTCCCTCTCATCCCTTTCATAGGCTGCCCATGGGCCGAAATTGCCCTGACCTACTCTGATACACTGGTGCTAGGAGTAGTATACCGCTCACCCTCCTGTAGCGTGCCAGAACCACAACTTCCGACAGAACAACTGAAGAGCCTAAGGTCTATACGCCCCAACGCTCATCTTCTGATAGCGGGAGATTTCAACGCTCCGGGAATAGATTGGCGCAGACGTCATGCCCCGGATAGTACATTTGGAAGGCAACTAGTCGACCTGGTCACAGAGCTGTCATGGTCTCAGCACGTCACAAGCTCAACCAGATTCAGAAACGGGCAAGCCCATTCACTGCTAGACCTTGTCGTAACAGGTGATAGTCACTTCACAGACACAATTCAACAGCATTGCCCTATGGGCAAGAGTGACCATATCGTGCTGTCTTTCTATATTGCAGTCCGCTGGCCCAGCTTCGTCACACCATGTCTTAGGGAGGTTTGTTCTTTTAAAAGGATAAAAATCAACAACCTGATGCATTTCCTCCAAGCCCATACCCCAAAAACTAATCACAAGTGATATAGACATCTTGAGTAACACAATAGAGCAGTGTATCCACACAGCGGATCATCTGCCGGTGCCTCGCGTCCATAAATCCTCCTCAAACAGGCATCCCTTACCGCTTACTATTCGTCATCTTTTAGAAGAACGTTCGCGGTCCTTTGCTAGGTACAAATTGACGGGTCTGATAGAAGATGCCAATGGTTTCATCCCCATTCGCAATTTATGCAGAGCAAGGATCCGAGAGTTCCGAAGAAACCAACACAACGGTATTTTAACCAGGGCACGGGTAAACCGGTCAGTCCTGCACAAATTTATGCAACGAACCCGGCAAAGCTGCCCATCCGCCCCTGCCCTATATAAACCCAACGGTACCCCAGCCACCTCATCTGCAGAAGTGGCGGAAATGTTCCGGGCCCATTTCGACCAAAATTTTAAGATCCCCTCTCCAATCAGTCATCTCAATAGTCATCCCGTAACCTACCAATCCCCGTTAGATCACGTTGTCTTAACAGTATCAGAAGTGGAAGAACAACTTAAACGTGTGAACTCCTTCAGCTCGATGGGTCAGGATGAAATCCACCGTCGTATACTGCAAAAATCCGCGGACTTGTTGGCCGCCACATATGCCCAACTCTTTCAAAAGTGCTTGGACACAGGAACCCTTCCACAACAGTGGAAGAGAGCAGCTGTTATTCATATATATAAGAAAGGCAATCAACACTTTCTTACTAGCTATAGGCCCATCAGCCGAACCAGTATTCCCAGTAAGATCTTCGAGAGCCTTCTTAAACGGCGTATTCTAAGGCATCTCACTGGGAAAGGTTAGGTGGTCGCTTTTCGTATCCTAAAGATTATCAAACGGTCTTTCCCGCATATAACCAAAGAGGACTTCCCTTTCCTCTATGGAACATACATACGCGCGCAGTATCACTTTTCGGAGTGTGGCGAAACTCAAGGAAATCTTCTTCAATTCCTACAAATTATCCCACAATGGATCCTGGTCCAGCTGAAATCGACTGGTACTCGCCTATGGGTGAGATAAAGGTGCTACGAAAGTGAGCCTAGGCGTTAGTGGTTGCCTTCTGTGAGGAAACTCGGTGAGTCTAGCCTCCACGTTATCTTTGGCTTGTGGTTGATGTTCGTAGCCAGTGCATGCTTTTGTCCCTCCCTTCTCTTCATCTTGAGTCTTTCTCATTTGCTATCATATTAGTCCCAAGCTATAATCTGTTACCTCAAGGCCCTTTAAATCTATTGAACTCCCCAAAATCTAAATCCCCCCCCCTGGACAAAGCAGGTTGTTTCATGATGAACACGAGAGCTGTGAGCAAAAAGTGCTCTCCAGCCGCAATGGCTAGCCGTAAAACTGAAGCCAGGGTAGTTCCCTGTAGGAGAACCAATTGCCTAGTTAGCGTAAGCGAGGGTATCTGCTGCGACTTTTGCGATACCTGGTAACACCAAAACTGACTATCAAGGCCTAGCGACTCTACACCGAGCATAAATGCCTAAAATGAGTTTGTTATGCTTGCGCCAACATTTTTGCGCAGGCAGCCAAAATAAAGGCTGCCAGGCCCGATACCCCACCTAAGTCGACTGTTCAGGTACTGATACCATTAAAGCCGAGTGCCGGTAGCACACTGCAGAAAAGGACCGGGCCAACCTCCGCCTCCGACGAAAAGCTCACAGAGGCACATTGTATCTCCTTCCTAGATGGCATAGTGATAGACAGAAAGGACATTCAACCCACCATCGACCACCGGGATATGAAAAGTCATAGGGATGACATGAAAACGTCAACTGAAGACCATCACTGACTCCCCAGTAAACCAAGCCACCCAACTAGCCAGAGTGGCAAAGTTAACCGCATCGAATTCCAACAGCATGAAAACCCTTGAGGCGAACACCGACATCGCTCTCCGGAGGCGTAGGAATGTAATAATCAGGGGCTTAGCTGAGCCTTTCTATCGGATTGCAAAGCGGAGGGAAGCGCTAATAAGGCACTATATCACCTCCCTCTGACTATCAGGCACTCCTCCTAACGCAACCATCAAGAGGGCGCTACGGCCAGGAAAATGGTTTTCAAAAATGAATAACGGGAGGTCTGTGCTTATCTAGTTCAGCAACCCTTGGCACCGAGATTCTACTCTCGCAGCTTCTGCCCATCTGAGGGCACAGACCAAGGAGGCAATGTCCGTAGAACCTAAAAATATTAGCAAGAGTAGAACAGAAAAGCTGCTTCCGACCGTAACACCTGTGTATGTACTCCCTCTGCGACTTCCTAAGGTTGGAATAAAGGAAACACCTGCTGTGGTTGTACCACCCACCAGTGGGTCCGGGTGACGCACCCATACCAACCTACAGCATCCCAACCTAAAACGCAATCCATGCTAGAAACACCTGGTATACCCCGTAAAGCCTCTGATGCAAAAAAGGGGGCAAACTCGGGACTAGAGCCCGAGTGCTACCCCAAAAGTTCCCACCACTAGCCACAGATCAGGCCTGCGGGTGTTCGGCACAAATGCCTGCAGCCTTGGGAACAAATGGAGTGAATTAACCTCGAAATGCATTCACTCCGACTGCATAGCGATAACCAAAATCTGGTTTCGACCGAATGACGACACCGAATCGTTGAAACCAAAAGGTTTCAGTGTCTTCAGAACCGATAGGGAAGACGATCGTATAGGGGGAGAAGCACCGCTTATGACCAGCAAGCAGCTCCAAACTGAAATAGTCGCTCCCTTAAACACACCTTACATCCGGGTAGCGGCCTGTGCGATACACCTCCCCACAAAGAAGCTGGCGGAGGACTGAGTATTGCAATCCCCAGCATCCCAGGTGGAGGATGTGCAACTACTCTCATACCTTAGATAGTTTGGCCACGGGACAAATAGCGTGCTAATTCTGGGAGACTTCAATGCCCCAGACATTGACTGGAATACCACGTGGGCACCATCAAGCAGTTTCGGTCACTTGCTAATTAATTTTACCCTCGACTGCGCCCTAGTCCAACACGTCAACCACCTCACGCGTTATCGCAGCGGGCAAAATCCTGGGTTATCGGACATAGTCCTGAATGAATATCCCAATGATGTGGCCGACTTGGAAACCTTCCCACCACTAGGTAGGAGTGATCATGTGATCCTGCGTTTCTGTCTACAGGAAGATGGCCCAAACCCTTACATAAAATGAAGGAGAGCTTTCCACAGAATAAACTGTAACTCCCTCGCCGCAACGGTCACTGAGCTACACTGGGGGGGGAGGCGCAGCTCGACAATAAAGAAGGGCTGTGGATCATCATAAAGTCCAACCTCTCAACGCGCAATTCTGAGTTTGCTCCGTTAAGGAGGATTCGCAGAAACGGTAAACTCTCCTAGTTGTACAGCAGGCTAGCAAAC